ATAAATAGTTTGATTGTTTTTAGGGCCCGAGCCCTGACAGTGCGAAGACCCTAATGAAATTGAAATATTTATTATTATTATTCAGGCCCGAGCACTGACAGTGCTATTATTATATTTCAGGCAGGTGATTAGCCTTTTTGAGGGCTTAAACATACTCAAAACTCATGAAACTTTGCAGGCTCTTCAAAAGTGGTGAAAATGTACATATTCTGGAATAATTCGAAATGGGCGTGGCAAAAATGACTGAACAGTACCACCTATCTTGCTTTCACCAATCTACACAAAAAACGGTACACACATGTATCATGACCAGACGAACAAAAACGTCTCAAGGAGCATTATAAATATATAATATATATAAAAAACACAACAGGAAGTAAGCCATTTTAGATTTAGTTGCCATTTTGGCCCCTTTACAGGTTGTGTGTTTTAACATACTCCTCCTAGAGCTTTCATCAGATCAACTTCAAATTCAGTGAAAGTCATCTTAACAAAATAGGGATTAAAACTACCTCGATTTTTGAGTTTTCATCACAGTGTGACCGTGGCATTGCATCAAATTTGACTACACGCCATCAAAACACGAGGTTATTGTATCTTGGAGATACATGGTCCAATCTACTCATCAGAGTCTCGGACTGATGACTCTACATATAAATCATGACTTAAAATTACAGCGCCCTCTGGTAAATGGTTGTAAATGGTTGTATTTTATATAGCGCTTTTCTAGTCTTGCAGACCACTCAAAGCGCTTTACACTACAGTTTTCCATTCACCCATTCACACACACATTCATACAGTGCTTCTATAGCTAGCACTTTTTTTGATGTTCTATTGGGCAGTTTTGGGGTTCAGTATCTTGCCCAAGGACACTTTGGCATGCAGATGGGAAGACTGGGGATCGAACTTCCGACCTTCTGGTTGGAGGACGACCTCTCTACTTTCCATTTAGTGGCTAAAAATGTTGATTTATTTGCAGTTAAGTCTTGGATGTGCCATATGGGTGTTTGTTTGGTAGGTGATATTGTAGTGTTTTACATTTTATTTACTTTCCACTAAGCTGTCAGAGTTGTGGTGATTGCATGCTTTGAAACAGTTGTGGTGTTTGATTGAGTCACTGAGGAGGGGCACAACTGTGATTGTTATGTCTTGGCATGTAGTTTGTTCTATGTTGAGCCATGAGTGGTGGTGATGAGTTGCATGGATCCATTTGATAATGTATTGTAATTGATTTGTATTTGAAGTAGTAGTATTAGGAATTTGGTGCTTGAAGTTTTTTATTGTTGTAAAGTTGTGACAATTGTGTTTTATTCTTGTTTTTTTTTTTTTTTTTCCAAAAAATGCTGTTAGACTACTGAGTCTAGTGTGTTGATCCATTTTCTTGTCGGTTGTTTTGGGATCATTATGAATAAGTAGTTGATTCTTGGTAATACCATCATTTTTATTGTCATGATTCGCCTATAATGGATAGTGGTAATGTCATTCATCTGTTTAAATCTTGTATAGTTTTTAGTAGCATACTGAAGTTGAGGTGGAACAATTCTGACAGCTTGGTGGAGAATCTTATACCTAAATATGTAATGTTGCCAGTAGTGGTAAGTGGGAGGTCTGTGATGCTGTGTAAGAGCTATCTCCATGTATTGGTAAGACAGTGAATTTTTTCCAGTTTATAGTATAATCAGAGATATTTCATTAAGATGATTCTTAATCTTTGATTGATTTATTGGGGTTTTGTAGGAATAGAAGTACCTCTTCTGCATATATGCTTATCTTATATGTTGTGTTATTGCTATTGTTATGCCCAGATCATTTGAGAGCACAACAAATAAGGGAGGTCCACGCAATAACCATTTAAATAAACAATGATTTATTAACATTAAAAAGACAAAGCATCCACTCAAGCGACCAACCATGAGCTGGATGCCTGCAGTGGACAAGTCGGGCCTACCTGGCAGGTTTTACCTGGATTTACCAACATGGCATCCTCCCTTGGATTTTCTGGCCCGTCTTGGTCTATGAGGTCCCAATCTCTAGAGTTGAGGACTTTTAGAGGAGAGTCATTAAGTTCCTTGGGAAGTAGCTGGGTCTGCCTCAGAGTCTGAGCAGCAGTTCATGATGACCCGAATAAGGGAGATGCTGCAATGCAGAGAGTCCTGTGACCAAAAAATCACCCAGGCTGGTATGGCGGTCATGACAGGATGGAAGTGGAGAGCAGCACAGGCCATGGATGTTGCAGTTAAGGCACAGGTGCTGGTGGGCGCAGACTTGGTAGCAGCAACACTCCTTGCTGAGCTAGTAGAAGAATGCAGAAGCAATCAACATCAGCATCAAGATGGCTGTGGATCAGGAGAGAGGAGCAGTGGGTGGAGTAGCGCTACCTGAACACAAGCTGGGGCTCGATCAATCCCGGCTGGGTCGCCTAGGTAAGGATGTCTGATTGGTGAAAGACCCGAAACACCCAATGACCCCAGGTAACATCACTGACGATGTGTCCAGGTGCATCACAAGATGTATTTCACAAACTTGGTCATGATTACTGCCTGTCTTGTAAAATGTTTTGATCCTTTGAATAAATTATTCTCTGAAGCCACATTTTGTCAGGTTTGTTATAAGAAATGAATTTGCCTTTTTGATCGTGTCTGCCATTCTGGTGATCAGTGGTGATAGAGTTTGCCAAAAATATTTGTAAAATTCTGCGTGCTTTATTTTTTAACATTTTATCTTGAATTGCCATCTTTCATTAGTTTTAGTTTCTGTTTTGTGGTGCAATATGAAGTTGATTGGGGTTGTTTGTCAGGAAGTAGAAAAGCATGGAAATGATTGATTGGGGAAACAAGTGTATTCCCTGGCTGATGGGTTTTGTAGGCTCCAAGTATTGCCAAGACTGAGATCCATTGTGTATTATTGTTATTGTGTATATTGAGTGCCAGTTTTTGGTATGATGTGAGTTTGTTGAACTGTCTTCTGCTGGGTTGACAACTATATTAAAGTCACCCCCCTATGATTATGGATGATGTTGAGAAATCTTGCAATGCTGTAAAAAAATCATGATAGAATGTTGGGTGTTCTGCATTTGGGCCACAGATTAGATGTAATTGTTAGACTGATGTTATTAATTGTTCAATTTATAATGATATAGCATCCTTCTGTTATGGGATTTTTGTGGATTTGTGGGTGTTTTTCCAATCAGAATTGAGAGGCCTTTTTTGGATTTGTATATGGCGAAGTATATTTGATTGAATGCTGCATTTTTTATTTCTTGTTTTTACTGTCTGATAATTTGGTTTATTAGACAGTTGTTTTTGCGAGTGAGTTAATGCCACATAGATTCCATCTGACAAATCTTAGTGCTGTGGGCATTGGTATTGTTTATAGATTTTATACTTAATGACTATGAAGATTTCAGCCTTTTCTACAAGATCCGTCAGTAAAACTGGTGGCAAAGGTAATACCATTCAAAGTAACCATGTGATCAAATACATTTTCATTCTGAGGTTTTTAGGGCCAGTAAAAAAAAGTA